TTTGTACACGCTTTTGTTCTTCACTTCTCAAATGCTTTTTCGAAATTAATAAAAACCAAGACAAAAAATTAAAAATTACATGTTGCCTCTGACGGTATTCGAACCCGAACATGCTGGGAGCTAAGAACTAACAGCGAGCATCTCTACACGTTCAGCTACAGCCAGACATGCAAATGTGCTTTCAAATGCTCAACTTCAATCACGTTTCGTTAAAAAACCGAGCAGTGATCGGATAACAAACAATAAGCTGGCGCAGAGACACGAGTTGGTCCGCTACAGCATGACAGAGGAACACTTTTGTAAGTACTCCAATTTGCCACAAAAAGACTACATGGTCCAACGATTTTTGCAGGGTATTAGTACTGAGGACTTTCTGATGACAACATTGAGGGGAAAGTACTCAATTTTTTCCCATGGCCTGAACGAAAATGAGGACTTTGATAAGCACTTTTGTGATTAGGGATAATGATAATATGAGTACTCATATGATACTCAGCTGTCTTGTAGGGAGTATTTGAACTCATATGAAATGCCTAACTAATTGCCTACGTGCAAGCGCATGCAATCAACACAAGCAATCCATTCTCATTTCGCATACACCAATACATATGAATGTGAGCACATACATACATACATACATACATACTCATGTACATACGTATTTTCACGGCACCGACATTAAATTGTTGCTTCAAATCCAGCAAATTAAATAATTAGCTGTTGGCATTTCAGGCGCGTCATGTCATCAATCAGTTCATGTGGTGCCAGCTTCCAATTTAAGTAGCACACACAAACGCATCTATTTTTATTATAACTTCATTTATATCGCAATTTATTTTTATTAAACGAATTAGTTCATTCAATTGAGACAAAACAAAGAAATCTGTTACTAAGCCTGGCATATAACTGCTCCATCATAACAGACATCACCATAATCAAAATTATTTAGGGGCCCCTCCCTGTTATCGATAATATTACAGAAAACCTTAAATTCGATAGCATTGTCGATATATCGATAAAATAACCGATAAAATTCTGATATCATAGCCGGTTTATTAACGATTCAATTATGGGTTTCAAACACTTTTTATCACTTTTGTTTTTTCTACGAGTATGTTTGCATTTAATATGTAATGAGGCTCCGAGTTTTGGGTTGAGGATTTCAGAGACAATACGGTCATAAAGATATTCTAAATAGAGTCGCCTTTTCTTAGATTTAACAAGACCTTTCAAAAGGAGTTCTTTTCTTAGTCGAACAGAAGAAGATCCAGAACAGACGGCGAGGACTAAATGTATATCGACGGTCCGTGTGGGGCAAGGGTGTTTTAAAGAGTGAGAATATGGATGTTGTGATAAACTCTTATGGCGATTTCGTTACTACAAAAAAATGTTGCCTTCTCATCGCCCTCTTCTTAGTGTTTGTGCGTAGAGGGCAAAGAGAAGGTTGCATTTTTCGGTAGAAATAGGCATTAGTCGGTGTTGAATGGTTGACTAAGTAGCTTTATTTGTCCTTGGTGCAACCTTTTAATGACATATTTTTGCAGTCAATGCCAAGTTTTTTTTTACCTTGTTTTCTGCATTAAAATCCCAAATTTCTACCTATCGGTTTATTTCATCATTCATACAACGAAGGTGTCACGTCCACAAAATGCAAAGAGCACCTTCATTCAGCTGCTTTCTAGCCGCGCATTCAGCAGCATTTACTCATATTTCATGAGTTCTTATCTTTATTGCAAGGAGTCATCGCAAGTCATCTGGAAAGCGGATATAGGTACATTAGCATTTCGACGCTTCCATTATTCAAAAAATATGTGTATACATTTGTTGTATGCCATAGATGTATGTACATACATATACACCACATATCTGCAAGTATATGTTATGTAAATGTGTATGTATGTATGTATATATGAAAGTAAATTCACAAGTAACCTAAAAATATCGTCAGTAGAGCGATTGGACTTTGATGTGTATGCATATGGATATGTGTGAGTCAAAATACATATAGTAGATGTACAGACAATCCAACAGACATACATATCATCGATTGTGATAAAGAACACATGGAAGTTTCAGAAACATTTTGAAGGTTGAGTTAATGGCTTGGAATTTGGTGAAATAAAAAAATAAAAATTAAATGAAGAGTATGAAACAGTTCCACGTTTGTGCATACTTAAAAGAACTGATGGCAAAAACGCGCGGGCAAGATTACAAAAAAAAAAAAAAAAAACAAGCGCTTATTAAAAAAAAAAAAAAGTACAAAAAAAAACTCTTTCAAAACGCCAAAAAACAAATGGAGCGTAGAGCTAGCCACATGTGTTTGCCAGACATTGATTATATTAGCAAAAATGCCTATAGAATGCGCACAAACACCGAAATCGAGAGCCACGTATGTACATACGCAAACATATTACATACATATATACAACAACAACAATGGCTCGCAAAAGCACCTAAAACCCTTCAAATGCCCGAGTGCTTACTTTTTATGTATATGTATATGTGCTTAGTTAAGAAACTGCTGAGACGTGAGCGCCAAATTTCTTTGTTCTTTTTTTTTCAACAGTTCTGGTTTGACTTTTTCATTTTCGCCGATTTTTGACTCTGAAATTGTTGTGGTTTTTATTATTGTTATGTAAACAAAACTTTTGCCGGGCATCAAAAGCAAATATAACGCGGCGAACTGGCGACGCACAAACACCTGCCTATGTATGTTTATATGTAGGTATAGATAGCTTTAGTAGTGTCTGGCAGAAAGCAAACATTTCGAATAAGAAACGTTAAGCAATTAAATTAGCCACAGAAAGATCCCTAACACTTTTAAATTTTGATTTCCCAAAATTTTCAAAAAATTAAATTGGTGCGCTACATCTGATGGAAATAACTGATGCATTTGCGTATATGTAGTTAAAAAGCTTCATATAAGACAGAACATGAGATCTTTTTATCCAGGTGCATAATGGAATTTGGTCTATTGAACGACACGGTTCAAAATATTTCATCTCAGTTCGGAGTCGCTCAAGCACTGGATGAAGATACGCGAAAATAATTTTCTAATGCATTTTTAACGCGATATGGCTTATGAATAATATGTTTTTAGTCTGAGCAAATATGAATTTAAAGTCATCAAATTTACCAATTTGGATGATTGATTTGGGAAAGCAGCAGCTTGAATTTGACGAGCCGTACTAATGTACACAAATTAATACACCCGTAATGTGCAAACCCAAAAAAAAACCAAAATATCGCAGAAAAAATATATAATCAAAGAACCCAATCAATCGGGACGACTGTGAGGTTTCAAGATCCTTGTGGCCGAGGCCTAGTAAGA